GTGGTGAAAAAAGAAAAGAAAAGAAATCCTAACGTCGTGGTGGGGTCGAACCCCTCCCCGCGTATTCCGCATAGGACGTACGGTCATTATAGCTGTCTCTTATACACATCTAGATGTGTATAAGAGACAGGGTTAACGGAGTGGGATTTAAACTTAACGGAGAGGAGAGGAGAGGAGAGGGACCTAACGTCGTGGTGAAAAAAGAAAAGAAAAGAAATCCTAACGTCGTGGTGGGGTCGAACCCCTCCCCGCGTATTCCGCATAGGACGTACGGTCATTATAGCTGTCTCTTATACACATCTAGATGTGTATAAGAGACAGGGTTAACGGAGTGGGATTTAAACTTAACGGAGAGGAGAGGAGAGGAGAGGGACCTAACGTCGTGGTGAAAAAAGAAAAGAAAAGAAATCCTAACGTCGTGGTGGGGTCGAACCCCTCCCCGCGTATTCCGCATAGGACGTACGGTCATTATAGCTGTCTCTTATACACATCTAGATGTGTATAAGAGACAGGGTTAACGGAGTGGGATTTAAACTTAACGGAGAGGAGAGGAGAGGAGAGGGACCTAACGTCGTGGTGAAAAAAGAAAAGAAAAGAAATCCTAACGTCGTGGTGGGGTCGAACCCCTCCCCGCGTATTCCGCATAGGACGTACGGTCATTATAGGGGCATTCGGGGCAACTTTCGGTCTAGATACAGCGATAAGAACCATGTGTTCTATTCCGGGGAAGACGGTAGCCATCATCCATGTCCCCTATTCTTTTCCCCTCCATTGATCGCACCGGATCCATTCATTCGTCACAGGATATACTCACACGAAGACTTTCCTCCATGTATCTGACCGCAATTTCAGCCACCTCACCCTAAGACTTTCTTCCATGTATCTGAACGCAATTTCAGCCAGGCCTCAGACCTGCATGAATCTACCTCAGAATTACGACTTTACTCCATGTATCTGACTGCAATTACAGCCAGACCTCAGACCTGGATGTATCTACGGCAATTACGCTCAGGGCTTAGACGGCAAGGTCCTAGTGTGAGTATGTGGCTCTAATGGAAGGGGTCCTACTTATGATGATGGGTCTTCAGAAACGTTAGGGAATACTCACACCAGGACTTTCCTCGGGACGTATTTCACCGTATTTGTGGTCAGTTCCGAAAGTCTCTAGTGTGAATATATATATAGATATGTGGGGTCGATATGACACACGGGGGTGGGGGCAGCCGCCGCTCAACCTACATCCACGTGGGCGGCCTTGTACGCAAGAGGTTCTGAACAGGGGGAGTTGTAAGGAGGAAGATAGAAAAACGAATTCATTTTTTCTTTTTTTTCTTTTCTTCGCTTTTGCGCTCTGATATTCATGTGACTATATATATATATATATTTGTGACGATATATATGTCTGGAGTGTATTTTTTGGCTGTGACAGACCTTTCTTTGTTTCGTGGATGTTTTGTTGGCTTGTGATGGGGTGTGAACCGACAGTCTGTGGAGTTTTCCATCTGGTGTGGGTGAGTGGTAGTCTACTTTGATTTTGGTTAAGGTAGATTATCAATTAGTGAGGGGATTCTGCAGACTGTTGAGGGTTCAGCCTCCTGATGAGT